ATATTTCTTGAAATGGTGTGAAAAACACCCAAAATCGGTCAAAACCATGGGCTATAGTCCATGCTTTTAGACCATTTATGACCCATATTTCGAGCGTTATAAATAATTCATATTTTTTGAAAAGGTGTGAAAAATACCCAAAATCGTTAAAAACCATGGGCTATAGTCCTTAGTTTTTAGCCAAAAATGACCCATTTTTCAAGTGTTATAAATAATTCATATTTTTTGAAAAGGTGTGAAACACACCCAAAATCGGTCAAAACCATGGGCTATAGTCCATGCTTTTTGCACAAGAATGTCCAATTTTTCAAGTGTTATAAATAATTCATCTTTTTTGAAATGGTGTGAAAAACACCCAAGATCGGTCAAAACCATGGTCTATAGTCTATGCTTTTTGTCCAAAAATGAACTATTTTTGTAGTATTATAAATAATTCATCTTTTTAGAAATGGTGTGAAAAACACCCAAAATCGGTCAAAACCATGGGCTATAGTCCATGCTTTTTGCCCAAAAATTACCCATTTTTCATGTCTTATGAATAATTCATATTTTTTGAAAAGGTGTGAAAAACACCCAAAATCGGTTAAAACCATGGGCTATAGTTCATGATTTTTGGCCAAAAATGACCCATTTTTCATGTCTTATAAATAATTCATCTTTTTTGAAATGGTGTGAAAAACACCCAAAATCGGTCAAAACCATGGGCTATAGTCAATGCTTTTTGGCCAAAAATGACCCATTTTTCATGTTATATAAATAATTCATCTTTTTTGAAAAGGTGTGAAAAACACCCAAAATCGGTCAAAACCATGGGCTATAAATAAATCATATTTCTGGAAGAGGTGTGAAAAAACTTTTTTAAAAATTTTTGAATTATTTATAAACTTGAAAAATGGGTCATTTTGGATCAAAAAGCATGTACTATAGACCATGGTTTTGATCGATTTTGGATGTTTTGGGTGTTGACTTACGTTTTTATCTTGATTTTTGAAAACTGATGAAAGAAAACTTAAATTTATGGAAGGTTTATTAACAAACAGCAAGCATGGAATGATGAGAAACTATGAAATGATAAAAGATTGTTATTAATTATTCTATAAAACAGTAAAAATTGTACCAGAATTAACAAGCACTATTCGTGACAATACGTGCAGCTCAGGTAAAGAACCAATGGAATAAAAACAAATAAAACCACAGTTTACACTAGTTAATAGTAGTTGATTAGTACACGTGAAATTCAATCTTTGTCTTGAGGAAGTTCTTAGTGCGTCAATCAAGGCGTTTCCATGACATTCTATAATCACGTGATCTTGAAAAGTTTGTGTTTTGCGATAAGGCGCGACTTAAAAATCCGCGTGTGCTAAGTTTTATAATTAACTACTAAAAAAAGGACTATAAAAAAATTAAAATTATGGAAAAAAAATTTGCTTGATGCTAATTTTCAATTTTCAAATTTTCAAGAAGTTATAAGAATAATCAAGTTAAAATTGCTTTCAAAATCAATCAGTTTCCATCTTTGGTCCATTWAAAGCAGGATTATTTTCGTTGAATTGTTTCCGTTTATCTTTTTCCTGGCTGTGATGATCCGGGTGGAGAGACACGAGGTGGGGAATCTTTACCACCCGGGGCTCCGCCATGGTTACCACCCGGTGCCCCGCCATGGTTACCTCCGGGCATGGAACCGGGTGGGAGGGGATTGAAGAAATCACATCTCTTGATACATCCATCAAAGCAGCACTTTTGGCCTCTGGGACAGTTTGAATCAGTCTTGCAATATTCCTTTCGATCGTATTTGGTAAGACAAGCTTTTTGGTTCTTTATTATAGGGCACCCTCCTAGAAGAACAAACACAAATAGCAACAGTTGTTTGATACTGCTTGAGAATAAAGAGAGAACATTAGAAGGTAACTACTCACGTGGAGCAAACGGTGGAATACACCTTCTACTACATCCATCATGACAGCATTTGCTTTGCCCTGGGCACCCCATGTCATTTGTGCAGCCTCCTCCTGGCCTAGCATTAAGTGGACAAGGATGGGGGTCCGTTGGAGGACAAGTACCTTGAAATGAGTGATAATATAAATGTAATATATGTGAGATAGGTGATTGATGATAAGCGATGGGATATAGGTCATTCCAAGACAGCATGAACCTACAAACAATTCGTTTGGTGTCGTACATGAACCGCCCCGGTTGGATTGGTTGGGCACGTGTCTGTTGTGCGGGAGGGCCAGGCCAACAGGCAAAGTCTCAAAATCACTAAGGAGAAGGTCATGCCTTTCCTCTCAAAACACCAACAAATGGTAGACCTTCTCCGTGGCTCGGATGATGACGTAAATAGGCGGTCCCCTCTCACTTAGTGACGTTAAACATACAGTAGAGGGCCACAAGTTTATCAGTGTTAAGTTGGCACTGTCACGTGTCACCCTCCATATATAAAGACAACGATGATGGTGATGGTGATGATGGTAATGATACTTGTGATGATGATGATAATGGTAATGATGATGATGGCGATGATGATGATGGTGATGATATACTTGATGATGATGTTGATGAAAATGTTGATGCTGGTGGTGATGATGAAACTTGAAGATGATGATTGAATTATTGCTCTAGCTTAAACCCCTTTACCGCAGATTTTAAAAAGACTATCCAATCGTGCCAACCGGTATCTCATGACTTTGAGTGTACTCACCGGCTTTGGATGCGGGAGGTGCTGGTGTTCCACCTACAAATGAATAATGTTAGAAATATGAAGAGTGTTTATCAGATATTTCATTAGCAATAATAATAATATCGTGATTCACTAAATATTCTCTTATATAGACGACAATATTTTGTGGTATTGTAGTTTCAAAATTAAGGTTTCTGATTGGCCAACGATCAACGAAAACGAAAGCTTGAGCGCGCGGCCGTCAAACTTTTACGCTTGTTGGTTGCGCCATAGTGCATGCTCGTAAGGAGAATTTCGCTTTTAATCAAAGAAAGTCGGTCAGTTTTTCCCCCTTTTTTGTGTTTTAAATTCTTTAGAATCGCGATACAAAACTAATTACGATTTTGAGACGACAATACCACGAAGTATTGACGGCGTTGGAGGAAAATATATTCGGTATTGGGCTCCGTCGCTTCTCGACTCCGCAATTAGTTTATAATATTTTATTTGTTAGAGCAGGCTGATTATTCTGGCAGCTATCGCTGTGGGCCTGCTATTTATCACACTCACTACAACTATATTTAGTATTTCATGAACGCAACGCTCAACTCACAGGTTAATAATACTGCTTGAGAATAAAGAGAGAACATTAGAAGGTAACTACTCACGTGGAGCAAATGGTAGGATACACCTTCTACTACATCCATCATGACAGCATTTGCTTTGCCCTGGGCACCCCATGTCATTTGTGCAGCCTCTTCCTGGCCTAGCAATAGGTGGACAAGGACGGGGATCCGTTGGAGGACAAGTACCTTGAAATGAGTGATAACATAAATGTAATATATGTGAGATAGGTGATTGATGATAAGCGATGGGATATAGGTCATTCCAAGACAGCATGAACCTACAAACAATTCGTTTGATGTCGTACATAAACCGACCCGGTTGGCTCGGTTGGGCAAGGGTGTAACCCTAACCCTTGGTATCTAAAAATACCAACAAATGGTAGACCTTCTCCGTGACTCGGATGACCACGTAAATAGGCGGTCCCCTCTCACTTAGAGACGTTAAACATACAGTAGAGGGCCACACGTTTATCAGTGTTAAGTTGGTCACTGTCACGTGTCACCTTCCCCATAAAATCATAAAGACGACGATTATGATAATGGTGATGGTGGTTATGATGATGATGATGGTGGTGATTATGATGGTGATGATAATGATGATGATATACTTGATGATGATGTTGATGATGGTGGTGATGATGATGATATTTGACGATGATTGAATTATTGCTCTAGTTTAAAACCCTTTACCACAGATTTTCCAAAATTGCCAACACGGTAATGGAATCTCATAATGACTTTGAGTTATTCGGCTATTAATGAGCCGGAGTCTGGGAACGAAGAAACAAAAAACCAGACGAGGGGGGAGGGGAGGAGGGGAGAAAAAAGAAGACGAGAGATGCAACTCTCCCCTCTATTTTCTCTTCACTCGGGCCCAGTACTCTCGGTTTTCGCTGGAAAAGGAAGCCCGCTCGCTAGAGAGATATAGTATGTGAGAGTTTATGGAGTTGCCTGCGGAGGAGGCTAACTTTGAGTGTACTCACCGGCTTTGGATGCAGGAGGTGCTGGTGGTCCACCTACGAATGAATAATGTTAGGAATATAAAGATTATTCATCAGAAATTTCCTTAACAATAATTTTTTTTTTTATTAGAGCAGGTTGATTATTCTGTCAGCTTTTGCTGATGTGGGCCTGCTTTCACTCACACTCGCTACCACTACATTTACTAATTGATACACGCAACGCTAGACTCGCAGTTTTACGGAGGGAGACAACCGGAGAAAGATCCTCGTAGCATAGGAGAGAACAAC